GGGAAATGAAATCTCAAAGTCAACTGATCAGCTCATGCTCGCAAACGTGAAATTCAAAATAAGGCATTTATCAAGCGAGTTCTGGCAATCTAACATCCCCAACAACTTGATTTTGAAAAGTTGACATTCATTCACTGATAGTTATGACTGAACAATAATGAAACGCTATGATCAAAAGAGAGAGAGTTAAATTGTGTTAAAAATAAGGCAATTGCTTATTAGTGATAGTGTGTAAATTGGGGTTTGAACAACAATTGGAATTGAATGAAATTAGTTGGATAGCGATTCAACGGTTTATTCAAGGTTAGGGATTCATTGTTAGACATGAAAAAGAAGAAGAAGGTTTCAATTGTTGAGGAGTTTAGTACTTGAATGAAAAAGCTGGTTGTCTAGTGATTTTTAATTTTAGACAGTTATCTTATTCAGATCATTTCAATGATAGAAATTATGAAATAACAAGTAGTACTGTAGCCTGATGAATTTGTAATGTAATATTTTATCTAAGGCTTTTGTGGTGTAGAAATGGGTTGAAAGAAAGCTAGTGGCGGCCAAACCAAAACATGGCACAAATCCATGAAGTCACTGACAAGTAGACTGAGTCATGTTGGTAGATGTAGACTACCTGGTTGAGGTCCACTTAAAATCGTTTGCAATGGCGCAGGTGCATCCATTCGTTGTGTTATATGAAATTCTAATCTTCTGAATTCCTCATCACCTCTATCTTTCTCTCTCTAAATTTACCTCACTGAATTATATATACCGTAATCTTCTTCATTACTGCTAACACTTCGACTACCTCTACTACTATATGATTTCAATTGACATGGTAATTTGAACTGATGTATGTAAGTACCAAGTTCTACGTTGTTATTGATGACTTATGTAAGAATCTTTAATGCTAAAACTCTACGCCTTTATAACTCAACACTTTAAAACAAAAATAAATCAGATTTCTTTTTCGTAGAAATCGAAAAATAATTGTTCATACATTACATTATTATTATTATTATTTTATCTTTTGATTTAAAAGACAAATAGGTGTGTTCAAAAACAAAACCCCTAAATTTAAATGAATCATATTATTTATTGAATTTTGAATGAACACATTAATGTTGACAAATATAGTCTATGATTGTTACTTTTTTGAAAATTAACTAATTAACATGAATAAATAAATATGTATTTGTAAGTTTGTTGTTCAATAGTCAATTTTTAAATTGTACATTCATTAAAAAAAAAAGAAAATTTTAGTGTCATGACTTTCGAAATCCATCATGTAAAGAAGAAAAAACTTAACAACGACGAATAATGTACAAAAATACATAAACATATAGTGTACACATTTGTTAGAATTCCTTATGCTCTGTCTTACCCGACCGTAGCTGTTATTTTTTGACATGGTGGTCGAGCTTACTTGTCCTGATGTCCTAACTAAGATAATATTGGCTGGAACGTATGTAGTAAGCTAGCCCACATACACACAAATGCAATAAGTTGTGTGGTACATAAACATTTAGCTTATTTGTACCAAAATAAATATAATCACGAATAATGGAGTCAAATTTAATCATGATTTAAATGGATTGTAGCCGGAGCAACGCCCACGCAATTTATCCTAGTTTTAGATCTATGAATTATACTTATAGTCCCAGTGATATTCTCATTGGTATATGTGATCGTAAGCATATATATATATATATATATATATATATATATATATATATATATATATATATATATATATATATATATATATATTATATGCACATTATGCTTATTTGTATCTACCATATCTAAAAAATATTAGGTCAGGTTTTAATTAAGTAAAACTGACTAATATTTCCTTCCCCGCTTTATTTCTCATCTTGGTGTCTGTCTCTGAGCACATGAATGTTTGAAATCAAGTCATCCAAGTTAATTTCGAATTTGACTTTTGTTTTTTACTTATGCCATCGCCTAAATGAGATTAGACTAAGTAGATGTTATGATCGTCACTAGGTATGTTTGAAACTATTACGGATTCACCTTAGTCGATAAACGCAAACGAGACAATGAACCAGAGTCCAGGTAGGCTACCCTGATCCGTTGACTAACGAAAAGTCTTGATATAGCGTAGAGAGTATATTCTACAAACACCCAGCAAGCACAACACAATCGAGCACACAACTCTCGTTTATTTGTACATCATGGAGACGTCCTTGGGAAAGTCATATAAATAGCATATTAAAATGACACAGTAACCAATCACAGCCAAGGATTTTCCTGGTGGGAAATGTGATCTCAAGGTCAACTGATCAACCCATGCTCGGAAACATAAAATCCAAAATTAACGCATTTACCAAGCGAGTTTCGGGGATCTGACGATCCCAACAGTAGAATTCTACAAAATCAATTATTACTTATTCATTCGATGAATTAAAATAGGGACAGAAAACGGGCCAAGTGATATCAAAAAAAAACAAATTTCAATTAACTCGACATGCACTGAGATTACAAACAATCATACAATAGATTCCCTGGGGAATTTTAGTTTCATAATATTCAACTGAGACCCCCCCCCACAACAGCATGTCGACCTCCACAAAATACTTAGTAAAGTTAGATTTTAGCACCGTTGGATGCCAGCTGAATGGTCTAGAGGTTAGGCGTTCGCATGCAAGACCGAAGGTCCCGGGTCTGAATCCTGCAAGTTGCAGATGTCATGGATGCGCACTGCCACTGATGAATCCTATACCAGGACGAAACGGCGGTCTTTCAGTGATTCCTAGTTTCTTCTAACTGTCGTCTAACAATGATTAATTCACATTTCAGTAATTAACAACAATCTTCATTACTCTATAATGAAAAAAAATTAATCCAACCACCTTAAAATAACCATCGGTTGTTGTGTTTCTCTAGTTACAGCACGAAATAAAACATGATTCTTAACCAAGTTTAAAAGTATCTATCAGCTTTCATCATTATTCAATAACATACTCATCATCTCATACTATCAAACCAATAAATAATTTAATGAATAATTTGAACAGTTAAAAATAAATAAATTTATTCATTATTCAAATTGAATATTGAATATTTGCGTTTCACACACGTATATAAATTCGCATTCATGTTATTGAAATAATTTATTTGTTAACCTTACGATCGATCACATGACACAAAACATTATACAGTTTGTACAATAAATAATTATTCACATTAGAGATAATAATAATAATAATAATAGTAATATTGATGTAGCAATAAAAATTGTGATTAAAGATTCTCATTATTAAAATTAATACAACAATACAGATATAATCGAATTGTATTGCCCGTAATTAGAGCATCTTCAAGTACTCTTGCTCTATTGTACATGAATATGTTTTCAATGAAACGATCATTGTTCAATCACGACTATTAGAAATATGGAAGCATTGAAAGACGGTCGTTTCGTCCTGTTATAGGACTCATCACTGGCAGTGCACATCCAAGACATCTGCAACTTCCCGGATTCGAACTCAGGACCTTTGATCTCATGCGAGAACGCTTGACCTATGGACCACTACGCCGGCATCCAACGGTGTTATTATCTAACTTTAGTATATCTAAGGATTTCGTGCAACCACACCCATTGTCTTCAGTAGGTAACTGCCTAAACTTGACAGAGTTGAACTCTACTGGTCTCACTAGAACTCTGAGAATTTCCTCACAAAACTAGTTACTAGTGAGTACATTCTTATTATTTTCATGATTTCAATGAAACTCAACAATCTTCATAACTGTATAATAAAAATTTACAAATTCACAATCACAATGTAATTGGTTGTGTAACTTGCACACAATAGGTGCAATGTACAAATCATGCATGTGTATTATTAGTAGTGATAAGAATAATAAAAATAATAAGGGTTGTGGTGATATCTACAGGGAAAAATGAATAGGTTAATTGAGTTCGCCGCTTTGAGGCGTAACTATAGTTTCAGCTGCTTCTGGCAAAGGCCACCTAGCTCTGTTTTGGCCCAACTAGTAAACAGTGGTCATATGGTCGATAAACAACAAGTCTTTTCGACTAATCTATAGTATAACTTCTAATAGTGTTCGATTACTTGTCCTAAACACAGCAGAAGCTATAATAGGAATCTTAAACTGTAACCCTAGTTTATGTATTCAGAGAATATTTGGTGACATTACTATCTCGTATTTGGCCAGATATCAATTTACTAACCTTTTTACATGTCGTGTTCGGTTATCAATTTTCAAATCCTACTGTTCATATTATTTACTTCCTAGCTATTGGCTAAATCCATGTTACGTAATTACAGTAATCTTTTGTATTGATTATTCGAAAGTCTGTCAATATAATTTCACCAACTACCTGTAAGGTTGAACTGCTGAGTAGAATTTTTATTATGCTTATTGCTATTACTGATGCAGCAATCTTCTCACTGTCGATTTGTATATTTAACCTACTCTGCTCTGTGTGGTTACGCGATCTATTTAATCACTGATTATTTCAACATTTTCATAGCATTATTTAAATACATTAAAGTAAAGCTTGAAGACTTTATCATTGAAATCATGCATCGATTATTGTTAGACCATCATCAGAAACCTGGAAGCACTCAAAAGCCATTTCATCCTAGTATAGGACTCATCAGCAGTGGTTTAGAGGTTGAAAGTTGGCGTGCGAAATCAAAAGTCTTTCGTTCGTCTTCCGAGAACGAAGGACGTGGATGCGCGCATGCTAGGACAGAACGGCCGTCCAGTGCTTCCAGGCTTCTAATGGTGGTCTACGATTGGTCTATTGGTGGTTTCAGTGGAACCTCCAAGGAACTTCACACTAGTGATAAAATTTCACCCAAATTCTAGTGGGAAGTCATGATCATCGATATTATTCACCTAATTGTTGAAAACACTCAACTTGATCGAATTTCATATCAATTTGAATGTCAACTACAATGATTCATAAAATTATCAATGCATATTTTACTTGTAATATTTAAATGAAATAGACTTACTAGGAGATTGTAATTGTGAACATTGAGACACATTAGCATAACTTGTATTCTCACCAGAATATAAACTCATTTTACCAGTTTCTTGTTTCATTGCATGATTATTCATACTGGGATTATGATGTCCTTTATCAAATGGTAAATTTGTATGAAAAAATTGACGTTGTAAACTATGCGGACTTATTGTTTGTCCGGTAGGCATTGAATATTTTTGCAAGTAACTACTACTATTCCTGCTACTGTATGATGTTAATCCAGTTGGAAATGGACTAATTTGTTGATGTGATGAACTGGAGAAATGTAATGATCCATTTGTGGTGGTATTTTTATTTTTAATTTGACTATTTTGAAACATATCTGGATCATACATTTTCGTGTGACGTTGACTGATATATAAATGACGAAGTCGAATACACCAAAATATGATGACGACTAGAAGTGAAAAGAGAAGAGAAAAAAATAAGCAATTTGATTAGATGGAACAACATGAATTCGAAAAATAAATTTACATATAATGTCAGATGGAAATGGAACCTTCTTAGTTACTTAAGCTAATTAACCCTAATGGAGCATAGATCATTGACCAGCAATCTCCAACCTACTCAATCCTGGACCTTCTTTTCCAATTTTGTATAATTTTTGTTAATTCTACTGTCTGTCTGTCTCCATTGCTTGGCCTTGACAGTTCAACCGTAGGGCTTGTCTGGTGACGCATTGGGGTGCTTTATCCACCTCCAGAGGTTCTTCCTGATTTTTTTATCCACTGGAATCTGGTTCGTTCTCTGTCACAGTAGATTTTCGCTGATGATGTGTAGCCAACGGATCTTCAGTTTATTGTTCAGATAACTGTTAATTAATACTCGCATCTTCCGGATGATAGCCTTCATGGTTCTCCGAGTTTTCGCTCCATACAGCATAAATGCCTTGACATTTGTATTGGAAATTGTGACTTTGATGTTTGTTGACAGTTGTTTTGAGTTCCAAATATCCTTCATTTGTAGAAGTGCTGACTTTGCTTTGCCAATCCACGCCCATACATCTGCATTAGATTCACCTTGCTGCCTGGATGTGTAAAGGTTTTTACATCCTCGAATGCTTTTCCATCAAGTGTCTATTGGTTGGCGCATGTTGTTTTTCATCAAAGGATCTTGCTTTTTCCCTTGTGTATGTTGAAACCTACTGCTGCTGAGGCTGCTGCTACACTGGTCGTTTTCTCTTGCGTTCGTTGTTGAGTGTGGGTTAGGAGAACTAGATTATCTGCGAAATCCAGATTGTCAAGCTGCATCGTGGCTGTCCACTGTATCCCGTGCTCCCCTGATGCTTTCATAATCCAGTCGACCACCAGCAGCCCCAGATGGGCTAACCAAAAAAATAATTTAAACCTTTTTGTGAGTTTGTAATATTAAAATTACACTAATTATTGAATAAAGTAATGACTGTCTTTTTTTCTCTGTAGTATACATAGATTGTCGTTAGTGGTAGAATTCGGAAATAACATTTCATTCCATATGGGACTCATCATATAAATGTACTTATCAGTTCCTAAATTTCATATTCGCACTGAAACTGGAAACTGGAACTCTTTGTCTCAACCATCCAGGGTGATACCCACTGAATTATTGAAGTATGACACTGGGAATTGACAGATACATCCCGATGACTAGTTCAAAACAAAAAGATCAAACGATGCCCTTAACTGGGATTTTCGCTACCATCAAGCATATGTACTAAATAAATAGGCTAAATTGTGGCGACTGGCAGGTGATTCTCATGAACGAATTAAGGATTCACTTGTGTATTCTTACACAAACAAACTTGTACTTATCATTCAATAGATACTCTATCAATTTATTTGTTAAAATCAGCTTATATAAATTACTTATTTACAGTAAAATTATAATTTGATTTTCATTAGTATATTGAACATTGTCATTATGAATTATTAGGAACAAGAAATATATACAAGTGAACAATTATTGTTGTTTTCAATCCCATCGTTCATCAGTCCTGACTCTCTAATATACATGAATATGAAAATGTTAAATCAATCAAGGCAATTTATGAGTCACTAATCACAATGAAATGAAACAGAGATTACGTCACTACACATATAAGGCAAAAGTACAAGTTGATAGTAGGAAGACAAGTGTACTGACACTAGTGGTAGGAATAATAAAATACAAAACAAAAGTTTTAGTCCATAGTTCAACATTAGGAGTAGTAGTAGGTCAAACGTGGATAAATAGACTTAAAATAATCATTACAAAACATTAAAACCATTACAAAACGAAAATTGTTTGACTAATTAGAAAGTAAAGAATATAAACGGGAAGAGGCAGAAAATTACCAACAAATAGAGGATATGAAAACAATGCATATGACACCGAAAATTAAAATAAATTAACGTTTAAAATCGTTTATCAAGTTATATCCAGCTAAAGAAAAGACGGGGGGTGTCATGAGTTTCTTCTGAACACATAAATTCGGGTTGAATGTTCGGATTCTTCTGACTTCTGTTACGTGTAGGAGACGGAATTTAATTCCGTTGACAAATAAAGGAGATATACGATAGATCACTTGGAATGATTCAGATTTATCTATATTATGACCGCTGTCGATTAGGTGTGACAAGATAGAGCTACGTGTTGTTTTTATCTAGTCGTTTCTAAATCATGCTGGGAAATGTTCATTCGTTCGTTGGTTAAGTTTCGCAGTACTACTACTATCAGTACATCCGTCTTCGTACTATGAACATGTACATTTACCTAATATGCGTTGTTACGTAATCTCTATTTCATTGTGACTATTCACACATAATAAATAAGCTTGATTGATTTAACATTTTCATATGAAATATTCATGTATATTAGAGAGTCAAGACTGATAACGATCTAATCGAAAACAATACTGTATGCATAACAGTTATTCTTAGCTTAGCAATAATTGGTGATATCCTTCTATTAAATGGAAATCAATCAGTTTTTGATCAACAGAATTCAATGCAAGGGTTCAGTGTATAGAATAAATTGATTAACATTGAAAAAAGTGAAGTGCCCGTTTATATCAATGAACTTAATCAAGATCGAGGTTAATAGAACAAGCTACAGGTCAAATGTGGAGAAATTGGAATACTTCACTTCTTTTATCTGAAATTTGTGCTGATTATGTTATTCAGTGGAAGAACAATGAAAGCTTCACAATCGAAACATCCAGTGCAGAGAACAACACACCACTACAATTCAATTTATAGTTTACCGTTATGAATACTCTACACTGAAAATAATATTCAACAGCTATTCATCAATTTCAAGTTGTCAATGATTATTAAACTAACACTACATATTTCGTAATAAAAAAATTGTCTCTCAATTTGAATGAGTATTTAGTTAATTTCTTTTATTCATTGACTTATTTCAATGCATTGTAATGATATTTATCAATGATATTTAATATAGTTTAATGGATAGTTCAACTATCTAATAATAAACAGTAGTAGTGTACATAGAAATGAGATTCTAATTTTAGAGTATGACAGTCAGTCAGTCAGCTACAATGTAGAACCTCGTACGTACGTACATTCGTTCAAGTTGGCATACCACATTAGCAAATGGAGATCGAATTGTCGATTCGAATACCACAGACGTAGATGTAGTGGAAGTATTAAAGGTAATGGAAAAGGATTAGAATTCGAAGATATCATTCGAGAAGTATGTCATAGTCAAATGAATTCAAAAAGTAGAAAGAAACTATCAGAAGATTATCATTTCAGAGGAGGCGAAAATTGGATGCATCTGTGCCATGGCAAACGATTTTGAGCCACATCTTCAAAGTCTTTAGCCAACAATTACTATCATCTCACTGACCCTGACCAAGTAGTCTACACCTACTAATATGTCTCAGTCCACTTGTCAGTGGCTTCATGGATTTGTGCCACGTTTTTTTTCATTTGACCGCCCGTAGTTTTCTTCCAGCCTACCCCCTACACCAGACATTAGAGTATGATAATCATAGAATCATTGAAAAGTGCAATATCACTAAATAATATGAAATGCTTCTAGCATTATAATAATTTAACCAGAATCCAAATAAAAGAAACCATGAAAAAATGGTATTGTCTATAAGTATATAGAATTTATATTGTCAACTACAAATATCTCTTGAGTATATATTTCATAAATTTGTTAAAAAGATAATTAAAAGCATTATCGATTTAGATATTATTCAGATAATGTCGTCTGATTATTTTTGCGAAATGAAAACTATATTTTGAGTAATCATAAAATGTATACATACATAGATTAAAGTCTGTATGAACAATTTCATTAGTAAATTCATTTCACTAAAATATGAGTGTGTATGTATCAGTCTAATTTAGAAAAAATATTTAGTCAATGTCTGATGTTATAAAATTAAATTCAGATCATACTCAGTATGCCAAAAATAATAACGATAGCAACAAATAATAAGGGATAAGATACCCATCAGCAATCGAAAAAAAATATGAGTTGGTTTTGAAAACGTTAACATCTGAAAATAATTTATCGGAGTAATTAAGCTTTTTTGGAACCATCAGTCGATCAATCTTCAACCACCATCAGAAACCTGGAAGAACTGAATGGCCGTCTCGTCCTGGTAAAGGACTCGTCGGCAGTACGCATCCATGACTCCAGCTACTCCCAGGGTTCGAACCCAGGACTTTCTGTCTTGAGCGCGAACGCTTAACCTCCGGACCACTGAGCCAGTCGGCATCCCACGGTTTTAATGTCTAATTCTAGTTAATCCACAGCCTTGTACAACCTCATCCGCTGTCTTCGGATGCACACTGATGATGAGTCCTGTACCAGGACGAAACGATCGTCCAGTGCTTCCAAGTTTCTAAAGGCAAGAATTTTTGATGACTGGTGATGACCTTCGATTAAACCTAGATGAACTAAAAAAATATATACAATGTTAAATCAACTTCTATGGAATCAAGATATGAGTGATTATTTTCTTTTTACTAAGAAAAATTAGTTAGATGACAGTTAAAATGTGCAGTTTGAACTTTAAATGAGAGAAAATTTTTGCATTCATATATCGACAAACGATGTTGCTGACAGTTCTTAGAATTTACAACTGAATTACACTAAAATTTACTTGCAAATATTTGATTGGAAAAGCACCCCAAATATTTTTTCTATGATAAACTACAGAAAGTTACACCGACTCTTTCATATTTCTAGGTTAATCAGTTTTAAGCTGTCTCAATTACTTACATACTTACGCCTGTTACCCACAATGGAGCATAGGCCGCCCAACAGTTTTCTCCAACCAACTCTGTCCTCGGCTTCCCTTTCCAGTTCTGTTCAATTTTTGTTCATTCCTCTCATTTCTTTCTCTATTTCTCCGCGTAATGTGTTCCTTGACCTTCCTCTTTTCCTTTTGCCTTGAGC